GGAGGTGAAGTGGGGGAGGGGGAGGACAAGAGGGAAGGGGGAAGGCACAAGCAGCTACAGGAGGGAGAGCCCGCATTTTCTCTTGTTAATCTGTCTTTTCGTACAGAGCTCCAGCTGGGAGCCTAAAAAGGCAGGAAGAAAAAGATGTTTTCCTCCCCTGTAGTAGACAAGTTAATGCTTCCCATTGTACACGTTCCTGGAGGATTTCAGAGGCAACGTGGTCTAGATTGAAGTGGTCAGAGAAGGCCTCCCGGAGGGGCCAAGTTATGGCTAGAGATATAAAGAGCTAAGTAGTAGAAACTTAAGAACAATATAGGAAAGACCCAAATAGGATTTCTGTCCCAGGTAGGAAACAGAGCATGCACAGATGACAAAGTATTGGAGACGCCACAGGTAGCAAATTATTTCATCTGAATCAAGGTGATTCCTCGATGCGGCGAGGCAGGGAGGGTACTGAATGTGGGTGCGATCCCCTGACTTTATGCTGTTCTGATGCCTTCACTGGCTACGTTGGTCATTCATCTCATAGGGAGGCCACCGGTGTGACTGTAAATGGAAAATTCTGGTTTCTTGGTGTCCGACAGGTTCCTAGTGAAAACTCCTTGGTCTTAGACCAGCGGTTCTCAACCTGTGGGTCGCGACCGCTTTAGGGGTCGAAAGATCCTTTCACAGGGGTCGCCTTAAGACCACCGGAAAACACATCTATAATTGCATATTGTTTTTGTGATGAATCACTATGCTTTCATTATGTTCAATTTGTAACAATGAAATTGGGGGCCACCACAACATGGGGAACTGTATTAAAGGGTCGCGGCGTTAGGAAGGTTGAGAACCGCTGTCTTAGACAGTCTTTGCGGGCAGGAGAATGGAGGGTTTGGCAGAGAAGAGACCCGCCCCGCGGGCCAGGGGAGAGGCCCCCAGGAATTGGGGTTTGCAGTCGGCCCCCCTCCATCCACTGAGACCTTCCCAGGCGGGACACCCCGTCCCCCGTGAACATGCCCCGCACGAGCTGCCTTCAGCCTCCAGGTCCTCCCAGGAGCGGGGCTCCCTTGGCTGTAGGATCGCAGCGCCATCTGCCCCCAGGAACCCGGAGGCCCCGTCGCCCTGACCCTGCGCCTCCAGCCTGTTCCCGGGAGCGGCCGGTGGGGAGGGCGGGAGGCTCCGAGGGGGAAGGAGACCGAGTCAGACCCCGGGAAGGACGGGCCGGGAACCGGAGTCCCTGCAGCCCAGCAGGAAGGTGCTAGAGACCTTTATTTATTTCACAGCGAAAACACCAGGCTGTGTGCCTCCAGGGGCAAAACACCACGCAGAATGGCCCCCATCAGCCGCC